TTGATTGATTGATTGACCCCAATCGCAAGAGGTGTTGACATCTTGGGAGGTTGGACAGTTACGATGGAATGGTCTCAGGGGTTATTATATTGGGGCATTTTTCTTTTTGTGAATCGACCAAAGAATAAAATAAAATAGCAATGGGATTAAGGTTTTTTTTTCCTGGCATGTGTGCTGTGCCCTATTGGTGGAGTCGTGGTGGCACTTGCCGTTCTTCTGATAGGAAATGCTTGGGGCACACAAAAATGGGGGGGGGGTCAAGGAGGGTGAGTTGTGGGGGAGTGCTAAATGTCCCTATTTTCATCTGAGGATTGTTGGAGGCTATGCTTCTTGGTTGTGGTCTGCATTTCGTACCCATCGTGTTTCCTCCATTTTGCAAAACAGCTCACCAATCCAGAGAGTTAGTCAACCCATGTTCTAGAAATGGGGTGTCTTCTATTTGTTGGAGATCCCCAAACAATTAATAACCCTGACAAAGGGGATGGACTGAGCAGCCCAATTCCATCCTGATTCAGTTTTATTGGCTCTCAGTCACAGATTGAATCTGTCCTGTTCTTTGCAGATTGTGAAGAAAGCACAATGTTCCATGTTATAAATATATAGAGAGGGATGGTGTACAGGTTTGTTTGGGGATTGGGGATTAGACATTGAAGATGTCTGCTGCCAAGAGCCAAAAACTTCCTTGAACCTTGTTAATTGTGAAGCATATGAGTCACATAACCCCAAGCTATAACTGCCCCTATCTTGCTTTCCAGCATCAACTCACCAAAAGAAAACACACCAGGGAGAAGGCCGTCAAGAAGTGCTGTACTGGCATTCTATGATGAATGTCACAAATTGGCAGGGAATGTTATGGCTGGAGGGAAAGTGGATTTGTGTTTAACTCTTGGTTTATTTGTTATTTTACTTCAAGTGGGAGGAAAACTGAGCATGCTTCTCACTGTTCCTAGGTTAAACCTCTCTCCCAAGAACTATTTTTCCATATTTTTTAGTAAATTTTTAACGTTGTTTCAGAAAAATCTTGTTGTTGTCCTTAGTCCACCACCTGCATCTCACAGCCAAGTTCCATGTTACCTTGAGTTGTTGTTGGGGAGGGACAATCCCATCCCTGTCCTTTTGAACACACATAATCTATACTTGCTTCTTGTTCCCTAGGAGTGAATCTCTACCCATGCTATACATACTTTTATATCCTGGTATTCTTCATAACTGGCGAATTATTGACCAAAAATCTTTTAATTATTGGAATGCCAAAGAAAGAGCGGGAGAGAATATCAGCACTGAACTAAATTTTCACTGGAGTATGTTGATGGAGGGCACAAGGAGAAGGGGACGACAGAGGACGAGATGGTTGGATAGTGTTCTCGAAGCTACCAGCATGAATTTGGCCAAACTGCGGGAGCCAGTGGAAGACAGGAGTGCCTGGCGTGCTCTGGTCCATGGGGTCACGAAGAGTCGGACACGACTGAACGACTAAACAACAACAACATGTTGAACTAGAGTATGTTGATACACACAAACACACCACATATATGGCTGCAATAATTGCTCTTGCAATGCATACAAGAGAAAGCCAATATTCACATTGGAATAAACTTTGACATCAGACTTTATTCTCAGTTAGATGCTATTTGCCATGCTGCTGGCAGTCTTTAATTGATCACACAAACACACATGTACACACATATTAGCACATAGTATTTATACAAAATGATATAAGAAGAAATAATAAACACCACTCAGGATGTAGTCTTAATTTTAAAGTAATTCCTAATCCATCAAAATAATTAAAGTATTTTTCCATGTATAAGATGCTGTTTTTTGCTTTAAAAAATATAGGCAAAAATTGGGGGGTCGTTTTATACACAGATTGTGAATGCAGGGGGTGGGTGGGCAGGTGAGCGATTGATGGTGGCGACCTTCCCACATAAAGCTCAACAACTCAAGGGCAATCTCTCCCCCAAAAGCTCAACAACCTTGGCAAACTCCCCTTTAAAAAGCTCAAGGATATATTGATTTCTTAATTTTGGTCCCAAAAACTTGGGGTCATCTTATACATGGGGTCATCTTATACCCAGAAAAATATGGTACTTTCCAGAGCAGCGCAATAAGAAATGAAATGGCAATCTTTTATAGTGCAACAACTCCCAGTGACTTCATCTAGATACTGAACAATGCCTACAAAGCCCCTTTTGGTCAAGCCCTGCCCTTAGGTGCCCCAGTATAAGGGAACTGGGTATGGCTAACCTGAAATGGCCTAGAGGGCCCAATGGGGAGATCTGGGGGGGGGGTCCCAATTTGGCCTGTGAGCTGCAGGTTGGCTACTGCTGCTTTTGAGTGTGCTAGGCTTGATGGGGGCATGTGCGTAGACCTCTACACCTTTCCTTCAAATGGCCTGCTGGTCTACTTTGATGCCTGTCTGTGAATTCTGAAACAAAATGAAGGACCTGGATCTCGTCTCATATACAGAGGGATGCTCAAGAATTTGATCTCATACCTCTCAACCATTCCGATTTAGGCAGGACACCCCAGAATTATAGAAGCCGACCCTGCTTTCTGATCTTGTGGCAGAGCTTCAGACAAAAAGGCACGAGCGGTAGTCTCGTAATTGGGGAACTGTGTTCGCGCCTCCGCTCCTCCACATGCAGCTGCTGGGTGACCTTGGGCCAGTCACACTTCTTTAAAGTCTCTCAGCCCCACTCACCTCACAGAGTGTTTGTTGTGGGGGAGGAATGGAAAGGAGATTGTTAGCTGCTTTGAGACTCCTTAAAAGGAGTGAAAGGCGGGATATCAAATCCAAACTATTACTCTTCTTCTTCTTCTTCTTCTTCTTCTTCTTCTTCTTCATCATCATCATCATCATTTTTTTTGTTGGGTATTTTGGCCGGAGTCAACTTGCTCGCCGCATAGTGGCTGCCCCCCCCCCAAATGAGCATTCCAATTTGGATCCCTTGGATGTTGGAGAGTATGTAATCTTTGTAAATTCTACTTTGAACTGACCTAATCTGTACCTCCAAAATTAATGTGCAGATCAGAATTTAGGTACCCTCTTGACTTTTGCAGTAAGGTAAAGGTAAAGGGGCCCCTGACCATTAGGTCCAGTCATGACCGACTCTGGGGTTGCGGCACTCATCTCGCTTTATTGGCCGAGGGAGCCGGCGTACAGCTTCCGGGTCATGTGGCCAGCATGACTAAGCCGCTTCTGGCAAACCAGAGCAGTGCACGGAAACACCGTTTACTTTCCTGCTGGAGCGGTACCTATTTATCTACTTGCACTTTGATGTGCTTTTGAACTGCTAGGTTGGCAGGAGCAGGGACCGAGCAATGGGAGCTCACCCCATCACGGGGATTTGAACCGCCGACCTTCTGATCAGCAAGCCCTAGGCTCTATGGTTTAACCCACAGCGCCACCCGTATATGTGCATATTTTAGGAAAAAATAAATTTTGAAGTGTATTTTCAGAGTTGGGGGGGGGGCTGTTTTTTCACAGATGACTGACAAATGGGATGTCACACATGTGAGTGAACACATGTAATAGTTACATGGACCAGAACTTGGAAAAAGTGCTGTGTACCATCCTTCCCTATATCTATTGCTTTGCCTTCCTTCCTATCCATTGTGCTTTACTTTCCAAATGAATTCAGTTGGGCTTAAAATAACACTGAGTGCATCATGTGCATTCATTTTAATATAGAACTTAAGGTAGAAAATATACCATTGCTAAAACTATACAACTTTAAGATGGTACTGTATTGTAGTAGAGTTTTACTCTCAGTGTCCTGGGAAATATAGACAGAATAGTGTCGCATATGGTATCCTATAATGAAAGTGCAAAATATAAATAAAACAGTCAATCAGAATTACTCTAGAGGTTGTTTTTGAATTGCTCCATGATACTTTAAGAACAGTTCCCAAATATATGAAATGTGGAGACGGTTCATTTTCCTTGACGCTGGAAGCAATCTCTCTGCTGTGCATCAGAGATAAATGGGAAATAAAACAGTCCACAAACATCAGCTTGTGAACCCCATCATAAAATCTGAATTGCAGAGACAGTGTTTCACATCAGTTTGAAGAAATAGTAAATGGCACTGTGAAATTCATTGTCTGTGGGGATTAAGTGGCAAAGCATGCCTTAACCTCCATGTATACCAAGAAACTCTCAATATGCTGAAAACAGTGGACGTTTTCACTGTGGCCCGAGAAGAAAAAAGTATCAATTGATGAGAATGTTTAGAGACTTAATTATGTCTCTTGGAACCAATTCATTTGCTATAGCAACATTAGACCTACATACATATTTATTTAAAATGTCAAAGAACCTAGGGTTGCCATATTTCAAAAAGTGAAAATCTGGACACAAAGGTTGTCCAGCTTTTATTGAGGTTTTCTTTGGCAAAATCACAAAAAATGACATTTCTGAGCTATTTTTAAGGAAAATTGGACTGCCGACACATGGGTTGCCACATGTTCAGATTTTCCTGGACATTTTTGCCGATTTCCACCCAGACACTGCTTCTGACAGCAGTATTTTGGGAATGTCTGGGAAATTCCGGACGTATGGCAACCCTAGGTATTCACATGTAACTTTCAGAAGGGTACACACTAGTCATCCTGTGCGAATCAATAGCATACATGTTTTCACACTAGTACATGTGTACAGGCAACTTGTCCCCCAAAGAATTCTGGGAAGTGTAGTTTTTTAAGGGTGCTGAGAGTTGCTAGGAGATTCCCATTCCTCACAGCTAGAATTCACAGAAGTCACTGGAAGTATTAAAGGCCTTTTCTAAAGCAAGTATATACATGAGTATATTGATTCAATGGTAGCCAATATAGTGCCCTCCAGGGGTTGTGGCAGTGCAGATTTCATCATCCGTTAACACTGGCCGTGCAGGGTGGGGCAGGTGAAAGGATATCTGGAAGGCATCATAGAATTATAGGGTTGAAAAGGGTGCGGAGAATCACCTAGTCCAACCCCGTTCCATGCAGGAATATGCATCTGCCCCTTACAGGGATCGAACCTGTAACCTTGGCGCTATCAGCACCACGCTCTAACCAACTGAGCTATCCAGGCATGCACAATGTTGGCTATCATTGTATTAATTGATATAGAAAGAGTATATACGTGAGTACATATCTCTCTCTCTCCAACTTATCAAAAAGCCTAACTCTAGCAAGTAGAAATCTGCTGGGTGAGCAGAACAGCAATATTGGATACAAACCAGAATGTTTGCTGTCGCAGTTTAAGCTTCTGCTTTTGCAGGACAGCTAAAATGGTCACTGTGGTTGGGCCACTGAAGAGAAAACTAAAAACAACCCTTCAACAGCAATATGCTTCTTCATGCTTTCAAAACTCAGTCGCATACGGAACTGTGTTGTTACAGAGGGGTTGTCGAGCAAGGCAGCATATTGTAGTACATGTCTTAATATTTTGAGAAGTTAGAAGATACTAATATTTCTGATGCCGTAGAGAAATGGGAGTGCTAATGCCCATTAGCTGCCAAATCCCTTAAGAAACAGTAAAGGTAAAGGTAGTAAAGGTAAAGGTACCCCTGCCCGTACGGGCCAGTCCTGACAGACTCTAGGGTTGTGCGCCCATCTCACTCAAGAGGCCGGGGGCCAGCGCTGTCCGGAGACACTTCCGGGTCACGTGGCCAGCGTGACATTGCTGCTCTGGCAAGCCAGAGCCACACACGGAAACGCCGTTTACCTTCCCGCTTAGTAAGCGGTCCCTATTTATCTACTTGCACCCGGGGGTGCTTTCGAACTGCTAAGTTGGCAGGTGCTGGGACCGAGCAGCGGGAGCGCACACCGCTGCGGGGATTCGAACTGCCGACCTTTCGATCGGCAAGCCCTAGGCACTGAGGCTTTTACCCACAGCGCCACCCGTGTAGGCCTAGTTGCAGACGACTCTGGGGTTGCAGCGCTCATCTCGCTTGACTGGCCGAGGGAGCCGGCATTTGTCCACAGACAGTTTTTCTGGGTCATGTGGCCAGCATGACTAAGCCTCTTCTGGCGAACCAGAGCAGCGCACGGAAATGCCGTTTACCTTCCTGCCAGAGCGGTACCTATTTATCTACTTGCACTTGACGTGCTTTCGAACTGCTAGGTGGGCAGGATCTGGGACCGAGCAATGGGAGCTCACCCCGTCGCAGGGATTCGAACCACCGACCTTCTGATCGGCAAGCCTTCTGATTGGTTTGGACCACAGCGCCAGCCGTGTAGATTGCACTTATTTCCCATTGTATTCCATTTTAACGGAGATTTAAATGGCTTGTAGAGTTCTTATTTTTATTTGCTAATGTATTTGACACAAAGAGAGAGATTCATCATTAGAGTGGCTTTGCTGAGTTGACTTCAAATGAGTGAGAAACTTTTAAAATTATGAAGTCTAAATGGTGTAAAAAGACAGCAAGATTGGAATGGAGCCAAGACTATCAGAATACAGTGGTACCTCGGGTTACATACGCTTCAGGTTACAGACTCCGCTAACCCAGAAATAGTACCTCGGGTTAAGAACTTTGCTTCAGGATGAGAACAGAAATCGTGCTCTGGTGGCGTGGCAGCAGCAGGAGGCCCCATTAGCTAAAGTGGTGCTTCAGGTTAAGAACAGTTTCAGGTTAAGAACAGACCTCCGGAATGAATTAAGTACTTAACCTGAGGTACCACTGTATAACACTACTTCCTGTCTTCTGGTTTTAGTGATTTTCTTTGTCCTGAGTTCTGATGTACCTGAAGGGTGTTAAGGGATTTGCTAGCTGGATGCTGATCTTCTTCATGGCTAATATAAAGTCTACAGCAATACTTACATAGAGAAAGCTAACTCTCCAAACCTACAAATGAGAATTAATTCCTCTTTTCCTAACCATTCTCTTGTTATCGGAAAAGTAATAACAGTAATAACCAAATATGGATTATCATATGCAAAATAAAAATCTGTAACACAGTTGTAATAAGTTTAAGTATATTCTATTAACTGGTCTTACTGAGTATTTCAGATATGTGAATCTGGTAATACATTAATGCCATTAACTTAAGGAATAAGAATTGGGAGCTCTAAGCTTTTGCCTCAGAAGATTTTTGAGTTGGAATATTTTACAACATTGTTTCTTATTACAACCTACGGTCTCAAACTGTGGAAACTGCGTGTGACCTATGCGAGGGGCAAGTCCTTGTAGACTGCCCCACACAAAGTGCATTACAGTTTTCCATATGAGAGGTCACCAGAGCATGAAAGACTAGTACTAGGGTATTCTGGCTTGGGAATGACTGGACAAGAAGCAGGGAAGAGAGTAGTGAGGATGTTAGGTAACAATAAGCAGAATACTTCTGATATATCACTGATCTATTGAGATCTTCTGATGGAGCACTTCTGGTGAGTACCCATGCTCCTGACCAGGGGTGCCATCTGAGGAGGGGGTGCCAAGGTGCCAGGACCCCCATATAATTAATAAGAGGGCTGCCCCAGCAATTCTTTATTTAGAATAATACTTTATTTAGAATTCAACAATAACAAAGGGGGGGGGGACCACAGTGGTTGCTACATCAAATCATTACAATTAACCAATTTTAACAATATATAAATAAAAATAGAGAATAGAGAGAATAATAGAGAAATTACACAACATCACTTTTAACTTACTGAGGTCTTCATATTACACTTTTATCTCTTTATCTCTTTCTAAACATATCAAAAAGAGAAAGACCAAGAAAGGAGACACAAAAAGGAAAAGAGAAGAGGAAGAAGAAGAAGGGGGGGAGTGAGGGGAGGGGGGGGAGAAAAAGAAGAAGAAGAAAATAAAACAAAACAAACACATTTGGCTTCTGTTTAGACTCATTGTATTATTATTTCTACAATTTTTTCACACACACTTCCTAGTTATTGTATTTCTTTCTTTGTTTTCATCAGAGATCAAAAAACATTATATTTGTTGTTTTACAAGGATCATTCTATTTCTGCCAGGAGATATTTGTTATTGTAATGCTTTCCCAAATACTCTTTAAAGGTTTTCCATTCTTTCTGTACTTTTTGTTTTGGATAACCTCTAATTCTCCCTGTCATCATGGCCATCTGTAGATTCTAGGGTGATCCGAAAAAGGATGCACCAGGACGAAGATGCTTGGCCCTGGCATGTCCCTTTGACAACCCCCGAGCACCTTCCCAGAAGGCACTCAGGCAATCTCTACCAAGGACACATGGGGAGAGGCATCTTCACCCTGCCTGTTCCTTTCACAAGGTAAAGCGGCCAGCGGTGGGTGGGTGAGGGATGGCAGATGGCAGGCCAAGTTGGCTTGGCCAGACTGGGGTGGGTGGGTTGTGTGTGTGAGTGGGGTGGGTGGGTGGGTGGGGTCGTCCTCCACAAGTGACGCTCCCCCCCCCAATGTTGGGCGCAGCTTGGCATGCCTGCTCCTGAGATTAAGTTGGCCTTCATGTCAGGAGTCCAGGTTTCCACTTGATAACACAGCAAGTGTAGTTAATTAAAAAGGATGATTTATTGTCAAAACAAACAGATAGCTCCAGACGGCTCTAACACAGCCTCTGACATCATAAATCAAGATGACCCTTCCAGTTTCTGCAGAAGATAGAGAACTTTTGTGTCTTATGTCTCTTGCTTTGTTTCTGGTCTAACAGCCCTCCCCTTAGCCTACTTTAAGGAGGGATGGGATCAGCTTCCCCCTCCTCCCTTTCTGTCAAACTACTTCCCTATCTGTTCACTCCTGTTTGAACTTCCTGAGAGCTTTGGCTGGGTTCCAGCCCACTCTCAGCTGTTTCCTTATCACTCCAAGGGGCATTCCAAGGGGCAGGGGAGTTGGCACTAGCTGCTATTCATCCTGCATGAAAGCTAACTCTCTCTGTTCCTGGCTGCTTTCTTCCGTTGGCTACAAACCTTCACTGGGAGCTGGCTCAGTCCTGACACTTCACTAGGAAAAGAGCCTTTAACATGATAGGCTTTGCCATGAAACCAGCAGGAACCATTTTTTCATTTTTTCCAAAGTCTCTTAAACAAAACTGTACATTTTATACAGCTCTTCAAAATATGTTTTTTTTCTCTCTAACCAATGACTATCAACTGCAGCTTTATTGATGTTTTAAAATGTTTTACAGATATTTATTGATAATTTTTGTTGTAGTTATGTTGTAAGCTGCCTTGATTTATTTTATGAAACTGCAGATTACAAATATTCAAATGAATGAATGAATGAATGAATGAATGAATGAACTCCTTTCAAAACAGTCCACAGGTCCTTGTTTGCAGTTGCATAAACATAGCTGCATACACATACCCTAAATACAGAGTTAGCATTTTTGTTGGGTGGGAGTTTCAAAATATCTGAGAAAACTGCATTATAACAACACATCATACTGCTGCACATTTTTATGTGGCAAAATTCCAGATGCTGGAACTCCATCCCTTGTTTTTAGGTAAAGGTAAAGGGACCCCTGACCATTAGGTCCAGTCGTGGCCGACTCTGGGGTTGCGGCACTCATCTCGCTTTATTGGCCAAGGGAGCCGGCATACAGCTTCCGGGTCATGTGGCCAGCATGACTAAGCTGCTTCTGGAGAACTGGAGAAGCGCACGGAAACACTGTTTACCTTCCCGCTGGAGCAGTACCTATTTACAGTGGTGCCTCGCAAGACGAAAAGAATCCATTCTGTGATTCTCTTTGTCTAGCGGTTTTTTCGTCTTGCGAAGCAAGCCCATTGAAGGATTAGCTATTAGTGGCTTTTAGCGGCTTTTAGCAGCTTATCTGCTGATCGGATCAGCTGATAAGCGGCTTAGCGGCTTAGAAAAGGGGGGGAGGGGAAAAAACCAGCAGGAACTCGCAAGACATTGTCGTCTTGCGAAGCAAGCCCATTGGAAATTCGTTTTGCGAAGCACCTCCAAAACGGAAAACTCTTTCGTCTAGCGAGTTTTCTGTCTTGCGAGGCATTCGTCTTGCGGGGCACCACTGTATCTACTTGCACTTTGACGTGATTTCAAACTGCTAGGTTGGCAGGAGCAGGGACCGAGCAATGGGAGCTCACCCCGTCACGGGGATTTGAACCACGACCTTCTGATTGGCAAGTCCTA